ACTTACAAATGAGGACAAGGAAGCAACTTACACAACTAAGAGCAACAATGAATAAGTGCTATAGGCAAGTTTCAGGTCTGTAAAGTCTAAGAAGGGAAGTATTAGTAGTATTAGTATTTTTTTTTTTTTTTGTACAGTTAGTGTGATATTCAAAGAGGCAATTGCAGATTAGGAAGGGAAGTGGAGACTAAATAGTTGAGTTTTTAGTCGTTTCTTGAAAGTAGCGAGTGACTCTGCTGTTCTGATGCAGTTAGGGAGTTCATTCCAACAACTGGGCAGATTGAGCGTGAGCGTTCGGGAAAGTGATTTTTTCCCTCTTTGGGATGGAACCACGAGGCGACGTTCATTCACAGAACGCAAGTTTCTGGAGGGCACATACATCTGCAGAAGTGAGAGCAGATAAGAAGGAGCAAGGCCAGAGGTCACTTTGTAGGCAAACATCAGAGCTTTGAATTTGATGCGAGCAGCAACTGGCAGCCAGTGCAAACGGACTAGCAGCGGAGTGACATGTGCTCGTTTAGGTTCATTGAAGACCACTCGTGCTGCTGCATTCTGGAGCAGTTGAAGAGGCTTGATGGAGTTAGCTGGAAGCCCAGCTAGTAGAGAGTTGCAGTAATCCAGTTTGGAGAGAACAAGAGCTTGAACAAGGAGTTGAGCTGCATGTTCAGATAAGAAGGCTCGGATCTTTCTGATGTTATAGAGTGCGAATCTTCACGATCGAGCAGTTCTACAAATGTGGTCAGAGAAGTTTAAGCACACGAAAGCACACGAAGGCGTTTGGATGAGGGGATCGATGGTGATTGTTTATCTGTAGATTTGTATGTGTGTGTGTGCATCCTGTAGAGTGCAACTGGTGTCCTTGACAGGGAGCAGGATTTTCAGAGCATCTCCTTATCTTGCTATCCGGGAGAGTTGTTCTGCCTCGGCTGGAGAAAGAAGAGACTATGGTATAGGACCATAGTCTGAGTATTAGCGAGACTACCCTTTCGCGTTTCAATCAGGCCGGCCAGCCTGGTGGAGTTTTGAGCAGCACTGACCGCTTTCATCAGTCGTCGAGACCCCAGGGCCCAGCATAAGCCCATCAGCAGAAACCCTGTTATGAAAGTTCCGAATAGGTAAATATCTTCATATCCTCCAGAGACAGAGCAGCCAGGCACAGGACCCGCCACTTCTCCCCCTCCCCGTTCATCACGTATCCAGCTGCAAACGTCCCTGCAGGACAAGTGGGCTCCCCCGAGCCCAAACTTCTCATCGAGAAGATGGTGTCAATCGCATTCAGAGACCAGTTGATCAAATCCGTAATTCATTATTCTTTTGGATAGCAGGGCACGGAGAGCCTCAGAGATAGAGTAAGACGAAGACAAGAGGAGCCAGGGACGGACAGGGAAGAAGTGCGACTGCCTTCGCCAAGAGCCAAAGAGAGAACATCAACACCAATTTATGAATTTGGCAATTAACGAGTTAAAATTCTGTACATTTAGTAGTTTTGAACTCTGACTTGAGGTTGATTTAGATTTATGCAAAAAAAAATTATTATTATTTTTTTTTAATCTGATGAATTTTTAGGGTAGTTTGATTCAGTGCATGTTTTCATGCTAACATAATGAAAGGGTAGTACATTTGCCCGGAGTGTATCATTGAGTTTTTTTTTTTTTTCAATTCAAAGCACTTTCTCAAAATATGTGTCAAAATAAGATTTATCTCCAGAAATCATTCTGCTAGCTGAAACACAGAGAATGTTGCGGCCAAATTAAGACCCAAAATCACAGATGAAAACATCCCCAACTGCACATACGGGTTAAGTTAACTTAATCGATTTGTTTTGGGACAACATGAATGAATTGTGTGGATCCCTGCAATTTTTACAGTGCACACACACACATGCACGCACACACTTTCCTTTTCTTGACATCTTCCGCATAAAGCTGTTTTATCCTGATGGAGTGTGTGACAACTGAAACTTTACTGCATTATTACAGGATTACGTGTGTCTGAGTGAGACCGTGTTTTCACCACATAAGAAGAGTGTGTTTGTATAAGACGGTTATGTAAGGAATAATTTGCCGTCAGCTGGACATTATCATGAACTAAACCCTCAGAATGCTGGCATCAAGCAAAATCTCACACATTACAAGACAATTTCATAACTATATGAGTCTCACTGAAGAGCTTATGTTGCAAAAATACAGTTAAACTAGAAATATTGTGAAGTTTTATAATGTAGTTGTTTTATTTTTTAATAAATTGTATATGTAAATCATTGCTGTGATACATCATGAATGGGTCCTTCAAATTCATTTCAATTTGTGACTTTAACCAATCATAATTAATAACATTTTTATTGAGATTTATATGTCTGTATAGATAAGCTTTCCATTGATTTATTATATCATATTACAATATTTGGCTGAAAAATTGAGAAATATCCTTAAAAGTTTTTACTAAAACATATTACTGATTAAAACATGAATTTTTATATATTTACAGTAGAAAAGGCACAGAATGTCCTCAAGGTGCAGATCTTTACCCAAATTTACACTGATTTGTGGTATATAATGACTATTTACTTATAGTATTGACTAGGGTTAGGTATATATATATATATATATATATATATATATATATACACACACACACATACTCTAACTGGCCACTTTATTAGGTACACCTTAGTGGGTTTGTTCAGCACTTTTGCCTTCAGAACTGCCTTAATCCTTTATGGCAGCGATTCAACAAGCTACTGGAAATATTCCTGAGATTTTGCTCCATATTGACATGATAGCATCACACAGTTGCTGCAGATTTGTCGGCTGCACATCCATGATGCCAATCTCCCGTTCCGCCACATCCCAAAGGTGCTCTATTGGATTGAGTTCTGGTGACTGTGGAGGCCATTTGAGTACAGTGAAGTCATCGTCATGTTCAAGAAACCAGTCTGAGATGTTTGAGCGTTATCCTGCTGGAAGTAGCCATCAGAAGATGGAGACACTGTGCTCATAAAGGGATGGACATGGTCAGCAGCAATACTCAAGTCGGCTGTGGTGTTGACATGATGTTTAATTGGTACTAATGGACCCAAAGTGTGCCAAGAAAATCTCCCCCACACCATTACACCACTACCACCAGCCTGAACTGTTGATACAAGGCAGGATGGATCCATGCTTTCATGTTGTTGAGGGCAAATTCTGACCCGACCATCTGAATGTGTCAGCAGAAATGGAGACTCATCAGAGCAGGCGACGTTTCTCCAATCTTCTATTGTCCAGTTTTGGTGAGTCTGTGTGAATTGTAGCCTCAGTTTCCTGTTCTTAGCTGACAGGAGCGGCACCCGGTGTGCTCTTCTGCTGCTGTAGCCCATCCGCCTCAAGGTTGGACATGTTGTGTGTTCAGAGATGCTCTTCTGCAGAGCTCGGTTGTAACGAGTGCTTATTTGAGTTACTGTTGCCTTTCTATCAGCTGGAACCAGTCTGGCCATTCTCCTCTGACCTCTGGCCTCAACAAGGCATTTGCGCCCACAGAACTGCCGCTCACTGGATATTTCCTCTTTTTCAAACCATTCTCTGTAAACCCTAGAGATGGTTGTGCGTGAAAATCCCAGTAGATCAGCATTTTCTGAAATACTCAGACCAACTCTTTCTTCACCTTTACCCCCCATTCTAATGCTTGCTTTGAACTGCAGCAGATCGTCTTGACCATGTCTACATGCCTAAATGCATTAAGCTGCTGCCATGTGATATGATAATATATATATATATATATATATATATATATATATATATATATATATATATATATATATATATATATATATATATATTTATTTATTTATTTTTTTTATTTTTTTTTTAGTATTACATTATTAATATGCTTCCTGAATCCTGTCTCACACCTGATAATTTATTGCATAATTGAACAATATTCATATTAAAATAATTTATTTAATTATTAATGATCATGTAAGAAGGAAGCAGAACGCAAATAGTATGAAACAGGTTATAACACAGAACAGTTGGACTCAGAAAACTACACCTGGCCAATCAGAACCAAGTATTGCATTTCAGCGAAAGTGTTTTACTAAATATTAAGTGGCGTGTCCAAATTCGAGACCCAGACCTCAGACTGATTACACACAGACGCGTCTGCTGGATGTGTGTGTGTGTGTGTGAGTGTGTGTTTGTGTGCGCACAACATTATATAACGTCACTGGGAGCTTTTTAAAGCGTCGGACACAAAGAGTAAACTGTCCTTCTACACTTTATGACCACGTGAACAAAGTAAAGAGGGATTGAAGGAAGTGATGGAGGTGAGGAAGTGGAGAGATAAGATGCAGGAAAGGAAGTGAGAGGGAAAAGGGAGGAAAAGAGGAAGAAGATAAAGAGATGTATAAAATAGCAGGAGGTGGAGGAGCTGGAGCAGATATTCCCTCCGGCAGATAAGAGCTTTGTTTACGGCAGCTCTATGGGAACATTGTAGGACTCTTACGTGTGTTTCTGTAACGTTTCATAACGGTAGTCCTGCCATTGTTATGAATACAGATCTGCATCAGAGCATACAGTTGAAGTCAGAATTATTCGCCCTCCTGTATATTTCTTTCCGCATTTCTGTTTAACGTAAAGCAGATTTTTCCAACACATTTCTAATCATAACAGTGTTAATAACTCATCTCTAATAACTGATTTATTTTCTCTTTGCCATGATGACAGTAAATAATATTAGTCTAGATATTCTTCAAGCTTAAAGTGACATTTAAAGGTTCATTCCGCTGTGGCGACCCCTGAAATGAATGAATGAGTTATAATGCTGCTCTGTGCAGTTGAACAAAACACACCACATATAAATGCCTCACTGCTGTTTTCTAGATCACCAATTTGGAAATCAAGGGTGTGTGTGACGTCATTTGCCTGCTGATGTGTGTCAGATAGTTTGTAAATAACGTCTAATCAGTAAAAGCAGCAGGCACATGAATCTTAACTCTTAATGTTGTTTTCCGTCTCTTTTAGACCCACACAGGAGAGAAGGAGAAGATCTGTCCATACTGCGGCCAGAAGTTTGCCAGCAACGGCACTTTGAGAGTTCACATCCGCAGCCACACGGGTCAGTACCTCATCAGCACCAAACAAACACTCTTACTGAGCCCATCCACCTTCAGCTGAAATGGCAGACCTGTAACACTGTGTCAAAGATTCATTGATCTGGTTATTTTGTGGCGTGACAGAGGCCTGTGAGATCCGCCATGGTAAACAGTGTGTAGTGTGCTACTGTAGTCAGAGCGGTGCAGGGCTGGAGTTTGGCAGAGCTCTGAGTGACGGAGAGAGCGTGTTCATTACACAGCCTTTATAGTCAAGAGCTCAACATTCCACTGCACTGCCATAACAACACACTGAAACACACACATACACACACATACAATGATGCACACACTCACATAAACACACACACACACACACACACACAAGCAATGATGCACACACAAACTATGGTACACACACGAGGCACACTCACACATACACACACAATAATGCACACACTCACACACATACAATGATGCACACACTCACATACACAATGATGCACACAGTCACACACACACACACAAACAAACGCATGCCATGGTGCACGCAAACACACACACAAAAAACACATACAAACACATACACAAACAATGATGCGCACACACACACACAATGACACGCACACACACACACACACGATGCACACTCACACACACGCACACAATGATGCATACACACACAAACACACACAAACAATGGTGCACGCACACAAGAAAACACACACAAACAATTATGCGCACACACACACATAGACAAAAAAATCACAC